TGATGAGTTTTGACAGATGTCTACACCCATAAAACCACCATCACAAATGAGATGTGATTTCCATCGCGCAGAGAGTTCCCTCCCAGCCCGACAATGGCTCCCACTTTCTCTCCAGGAGGGAACGACTGGATTTCTACCGCAGCGGTGCAGCTTGGCTGGGTCCAGAGTTTCACATAAAGGCAGTATGCACGTGTGTGCCTTGCTTCTTTCACGTTCTGGAGATTTTTCTGTTTATTGCCCAATTGTACTCATCACATGCTAATTCTTGTTAGGTGCCGTCAAGTTGGTTGTGACTTCATAGTGACCCTATGCAAAACAGAACAAAACACTGCCAGATCCTGCACTCTCCTCATAATTGTATGACTACCCCATTACTGCAGCCACTGTGCCAATTCATCTCATTGGGGGGTCTTCCTTTTTGCTGACCCTCCACTTGACCAAAGAGCTTTGGTAGCGTAGTGGTTATGAATCGGGCTGCGAACCGCAAGATAAGCAGTTTGAAACTACCAGCTATTGCGCGGGAGACAGATGAGGCTTTCTGCTCCTGTAAAGATTCACAGACTCGGAAACCCTGTACAGGGTCGCTAGGAGTCGGAACTGACTCCACGGCACATGACCAACCAACCGCTTGACCAAGCATGAAGTTCTTCTCCAGGGATCAGTCCCTCCTGATAACATGTCTGAAGTATGAGAGATGAAGTCTGGCCACTCTGGCTTCTAAAGAGCATTTTGGATATACTTCTTCTGACAGTCCACAGTACTTTTCAATATTCTCCTCCAACACTGTAACTCAAATGCATTCTTCTAGCCTTCAATTTTCATCGTCCAACTTTCACTTGCATACGAGGTAATTAAAAATACCAGGGCTTGGGTCAGATGCACTTAATTCCTTACACTTTATTTCTTGATTGCTACTTCCATGAGTGTTGATTGCGGATCCACGCAAAATGACGATTACGACAACTTCTTCTGCTTATCACGATGTTATTAGTCCATTTGTGAGAAATTTTGTTTTCTTTACATTGAGGTGCAACTCATACTAAAAGTTGTGGTCTTTGATCTTCATCTGTTAAGTATTTTAAGCCTTCTTCACTTTCAGCAAGCAAAATTGTTATCATTAACATATCACAGGTTGTTAATGAGTCTTCGTCCAATCCTGATGCCATGTTTTTCTTCATGTCATCCAGCTTCTTGGGATTATGTGCTCAGCACACGGACTAAGTATGGTTAAAAAAATACAGCCCTGTTATCCACCTTTCCAAATTGTAAACCATTTAATGTTCCCTTGTTCTGTTTGAACGACTGCCTCTTGGTCTATGTACAGGTTCCTCACGCATACCCATTCTTCACCATGTCATGATCCACAGCCAAAAGCTACTGCATAGTTAATAAAGCAGAGGTAAACATCTTTCTGGTCTGCTTACTCGTTTTCCAGTTGCTTGACATGTTAGGAAGCGGTAGTAAATGCCTTTTATGGGCATGTACTTTCATTCTCCCGGGTAAGCACCCAGGAGGAGAATCACTGGATCACAGGGGTGTGTGTAACTCATTAAAAAACAAACAAAATTTTCCAAACTGGACACGTTAGGTGCTCCAGGTTCTCATCAATGTCCAACATAGCCACCTTTTCAATTTTAGCCAAGTCAAAAAGGCGAAGTGGCATCTTCTTGTACTTTTAATTTGTATTCCTTTAAGGATGCCCTTGTGTGGCACCGCAAGCTAATACGCTGGCCTTCAAGGTCAATTTGAACCATAAGGGTGAGGGTTCAAAGTCCCCATCCGCCCCTTGGAAACTCTATGAGTCCTCACTGACTCGACTGAACAAGACAATGCTGTCGGAAGGGGCCCTGGTTGCACAGTGGTTAAGCATTCATGGCTGCTAACTGAACCATCAGAGGGTTCTTCCTACCAGCTGCTCCCCGGAAGAGTCTGTTTCCTTAAAGATGACTTGGAATCCCGATGGGGCAGTTCTACTCTGACCTTTAGGGTTACTGTGAGTTGGAATGGCTTCAAAGGCAATTAAAAAAACGCCCCCACACACAAAAGGGTTACCTGTTTTGGTAATGACCTTGGCCTCACATTGCCTTTGTGAATGTTGATTCAGGCCTCTTGTCCATTTGTGATTCAGGCCTCTTGTCCATTTGTAAGTGGCTTCTTTTCATCTCGTTTTTCATGGCTTTCTTCCCATTGTCAGGATACACAACTCAAGATTACTGTGTTCCTGGCCGTCCACGCCTGCCTGCTTATCTTAATAGTGAAGAGCCTACACTTTTGACGGAAATCCCAATTTCTTTTATGGTTTGTGCTTTGTGGCCTTAGAAACCTCTGCTCATTCGTTGTGAAAGACAGGTGTTCTGGCAGCACTTGTTCAAGCCCTTGCATTTAGATCTGCGCCCCACCTTGGATTTGCTTTTGTAGATGGTGTCAGGTTTATGCCTATCCATACGAACGGTCACGTGTGATACACGTTTGCTGAAAATACGTTGTTTCCCATTTGATTCCCTTGGCAAGTTGGATGATAATTAACTGACCATATATATACTTGTGGATCTATTTCTAGGTCCTATTCTGTCCCTCACATGTTAAGTCTGTGAAATGGGTCTTATCATGTTTCCCGCCTGACTGAAAATGCTGAGGCGAAGAGGTGTCACCCAGCTATGGCCACGGTGTTGTGAGTGGCTGGCGTGGGGTCTGCGTGGTAAGCCCCTGCGGTGGTCTGTGGGTATCCGCGCTGGCGCTGAGGCGGTACGGGGCCCTGCTGACGAACTGGGACATTTCTGAATTCAAGTTGGTGGGAGGGCCATGAAGAGCACACAGCTGTAACAGAACATCAGTTTGTTGAGACTGTGTCATGTGAACGGCGGGGAGAGTCCCACCCATGAAAACCAGACTGCAGCGGGCACGGACCCCAGTCTGTGTTCAGGCCCTGCACGTGTGTGCACACAGCCCAGCTGGGTCGGGACACTGTGGTCTGCCAGAAAGCAAAGGCGGCTGTGGCTCTCCCTGCTGTCCAGCCTCTCTGTTTATTGAAGTCCAGGTGAGGTACAAGACACAGATTTATCTACTGACTACGTAGCTCAGCGTGGCTGAGACACAGGACTCAGTGGAAACTGACTGAGTGGCCTTGCTCCTGACCCGTGGTACGCTGTCACCCTCCAACCCTGAGGGACCTTTGACCATGGCCTGGAAATGTTTCTCTTAGAAGGCAAAACATATAAACCCCTAAGAAAATCCCCCAAGTGTCTGGTTGCCAGCAGCAGACTGGGTGAGACAGAAAAGTCAATCAAAGCCACACTGTGGCATAGTGGCAGCTGGGAGTCCGGCCTTGGCTTGTCTACCAGGTGAGACGAGGCACTGCCCCCTAGAGGCCCTGGGGCCACATGGCCAGGCAGTCCCAGATCACAGTGTGGGGCTGACAGCAAGAGGGTCTCAGGAGGCGAGCAGGTGCCAAGTAAGCTACTGCTGGCCTTGGGGATCTTCATGGAGGATGCGTGACACCGTTTACAGTGGAAAAGGGAATCAAGAAATCAGGCTTTGGAAATTTGATTGTTTTTTTATTATTATTTCCGTATGCAATGTAATGTTTAGGCACGCTGCTTGGGATGCTATTTCTAAAAAAAAAATCGTTGGCCATTTTTCAGGATATCCTTTTGGTTTTTAAATACTGGTCAGGAATAAAACAAATGATGTAAAAATACGTGAATCATTTTCTAGTAGAGAAATGAAAACACTGACTTGCATCTGAAAGTGCAAGCGGTGGCGGGTGGCCCTCTCACCAGATGGTGTGGCAGCACACAGCATCTGCTCCAGCTGTCTGAGAAGGCTGTGCTGCACTTTGTATATTGACATAGAAAATTATAAATTACATTGAATTAGTATTCATAATCACTATACATATACACAAACCAGTCCTAAAAATACACTGGTTTAGAATTGACGGTGGGAACCTTACGCGGTACACACAGGAAAAGAATGAACATGCGTAGGTGCCGGATTCCGAGTTCTACTTTCAAACCCTAACCCGCCAAATGACGTACTCTCTCACTCCAGGCGCAGCGCGAGCTTTCCCAACTCTCCTGCTTGACAGGATTTCTGTCTGTGACACACGCAGACTGCTCTGAAATGTTTGCTGGGGATGCTGGGTAACAAGGTCAATTTTGGTGAATGGGTTCAAAAAAGCAGATGAACTACCAGAAACAAAACAAAACGAAAGATCAAAAAAAAACAAAAACAAAAACACCCAAACCACAAGCCATATACACTCCAAATATTCTAGTGTTTCACCTGCAGGGGGGAAATCATTTCAAGCAAACAAGACTTTAACAGAACATATGGCTTTACAAGAACATCCATTTATCAACTAGCTGTAGCAATAAATACTTAAATCTCTACCAATAGACTTACATTTTTGATCCGTTTTAAACAATACAGAAAACAGTTACCAATTGAAAGCTGGTTATAAAAAGAACACCAAAGATTTCTTATTGAAAAACCACTTTTGTTGCGTTAGAACCACCCAATGAATACTTGGAGGGCGTTCCGATCCTGACCCCTTGTCAACCTGGAGGAAGGGAGGGAAGTGTATGGAAACTGCCTAGTACTTTGGTCACACTCTAACTGCCCAATAGGTAATAGGTATGTTTCAAATACAATAGATCTGTGGACTCACTTTTATAAAACTATTCTTACAGCCATTCTAACTACAGCATCACTACTGCCATTACACAGGCGGCAGGGTTTTAGTTCACAGGCCACCCCGTTCTTTAGAACAATACAATATAAACATACGCAAAACAGCTTGGTATTTGTCAATGTGCACTCCCGGCACCCGGATGGTTTCTCTGTACAGTGTCTTAGAATCCTGGGTAGAAAGGTTGCTGGTCCTGATCCCTCGCAGACTGAGCGCAGCAGTGACTGGCTGGGCCGGCTCCTCGGAACCCTCCGGAAGCCCTCGTGGTGGTGGGCTGCGGGCCTCAGTCAGCAGCAGCAGCCATCACTCATCATACGGGGCCGTTGACCGATGTGTCGCCGGGCATACTTGGCTGGTCAGTCCTGAGGGGCAAGGCAGAGGGGTGAGGCACGTGATGAGCCACGCCTGGCTCCCTGGAGGCAGGGAACGCGTGTTTTAATGCCATTTACCCGATGATGTCCAGCACAGGCCTGGCACTGAGAGGCACTGAATGGAGTGCCTTGTGAAGGAATTCAACTCCAGAAAACCCAACTGACTCACAACCAAGCTTCCCCGGCAATGCCGTGGACCTCCCCACACGGCAATGCCGTGGACCTCGCCACACGGCAATGCCGTGGACCTCCCCACACGGCAATGCCGTGGAACTCGCCACACGGCAATGCCGTGGAACTCCCCACACGGCAATGCCGTGGAACTCGCCACACGGCAATGCCGTGGACCTCCCCACACGGCAATGCCGTGGAACTCCCCACACGGCAATGCCGTGGAACTCGCCACACGGCAATGCCGTGGAACTCGCCACACGGCAATGCTGTGGAACTCCCCACACCACCGCCTGGAAGCACACTGGGCTGGAACAGTGTTGCCAAGGTCTCAGGAGGCAAGTGTTCACCTGAGTCAATAGAGCCGCTCTCTGCTGCCCCCTGTTGGAATACACTAACATTGCGTGTGAGAAACAGGATTCTGCTACAAAGGGAATCATAGGAAAGCTGTAGGCAGCGCGAGCTGACGGCCTGAGAAAGCCATGGAGGGTGGGCACATGAACAGACTATATCCACAGACAGACATCAGAGATCAAACAAGGTGGCCCGCATTCCCTCCAAAATCACCACCCAAACGAATGTCAGATTCTCCTTGGCTCTACACCAAGTGTTACCAGGGGACTTATTGAGGGCGCTCGGAGCCTTAGCTGGGAAGCACAGACGTACTTCTGCACCAACATTCAAGATTTAAAAAGAGAACACTTTCAAGAAAGAAGGGACGCTTTAATCAGACACCTGCTAATTATTACGACGCCAGCTGCAACACACAACACTCTCTGCTTCCATCGGTGTGTCCCATACACACAGGTCTAGGAATGAAGAGAGCTCTGGAATCAGACATAACTAGGCCCCTAGTCTGCCTTTCCCACATTTAACGAGCTGATGCAAATAAATGTCACCTGTTTGGTTTTCAGCCTCTGGAAAGGGGGACCTGGGGGACAAGGACCACTGCCCCCAGTTGTGTCTGCAAGCACCCACTGACAAGGTGGTCAGAAGAACAGCAAGGGGTATGCCGGTCAGACAGAGGGTCAGGACTGTCAGAGGGTCAGTCAGAGGGTCAGGGGCACAGGCTGCATACCAAGTTATCTTTAACCTACAACACTGTTCGTTTTTAGAACAAATAACAAACATGCCCATTAGATCATGGCTCTGGTCTCTGCGGTAACAAGTCTAGCGCCACCTCAGAGAGCCTGTTCCCACCACCCTCTGGCCACACTTCTCCCAGCGTGACTCCCTCTGTCTGTGCTTCTGTCTAGGTGGCCAAGTTGATGATCACTTCTTTATCCCCCTGCTGAGCTCTTCCCATGGGCTCACCCATCTTGGCCTGGAGACCCAGATGTCCACCAGCCAGGGAGACGAGCCAAGGAAAACCCACATCACATTGTCAGAGAACAAACTCCTAAGGTAACAACTGCAGGCAGGGACAGCCAGCCCATACACAGTAAATGGTTTGCTGTTGTGAAGTACCATCAAGTCGATTCCAACCCACAGGCAGTGGCTGGTGAGCCTGAACCGCCGACCTTGTGGTTCAAACCAACTTTGCAGTAGACACCAGGGTGCTGTCATAGCCGAGCCCTCAACACCACACACCGGGAACCTGGGACCAGACATGTGGCCTGTGCTGGAGCCTTGGGTGAAACTATGCTCCAGCCCTTAAAAGGGGAGGGGCGGGGAAGGGGGAGAGAGAGTCAGCGAGCAAGCGAGCGAAGCCAGGTTTGCAGAACTATGACCACACAGACTTGCTGACCAGTGGGGGAGAGCGGCCCCTGCTGGCCTCACTGCCCTGTTGCCAGAAAGTACCCAGATGGAGCTGGGGGCCACTTGAAGCTCACAGAAGGACCCGGTGCTGCTGTGGGCTAAGTGTTGGACTGCCAACTGAAAGTGGACACTTGGAGCCTACCTCAGAAAGGGAAGGGAGTTCGTTTCTGCGAAGATTCCCAGGCTCGGGGCCAGGTGGGGCAGTGCTCCTGTCCTGCAGGGTCACTGTTTCCCTGACAGATAGGATGTGTTCGTGTTCACTCAGCAACGTGAACCCTGGGCCAAGTCAGCCTACTCGAGGAGGCCCCCATGTGAGGAGCTTGCTCCCTGTGAGGTCCAGTGCCCACCTCAGCTGTCCTTCACCCCCGGCTTGTTCTAATCTCATGGTGACCAGAAAGGAAACGTCGTACCCACATCACCTGGCTCAGGTGGTGGCATTTGAATGCTTCATAAACAAACCAGCCCCAGAAAGCAGGGCCACACTGACGCTCCTTACTACAGCGGGGCAGCTGTCAACAATGCTCACCGGGGCCGAGGAGGACCCATACTGGCAGGCTCCTGGGGGGCCTTACAGGAACGCTAATCCTGGAAACAAGCCCAACAGCTTTCTCAAACTCAGAGCCTCACAAAACAGGAGGGCCCGCCTGCCCGAGACCCCTCCATTCCCAGCAGTGGTTTTAGATGACTACTGACCTGGAAACCCCGAGAGCAGTCAGCTCAGCCCCCGACTCCCAGTGACAATGTGCCGAATAACCTGGGGGGGCCAACCCTCTCTACACGTCCCCCCCTTCCCCCCCACCACAATAGGCTGGGCCTGGGGAAGCAGGCAGTTAGTTACCTCTGCTCTGGGCTACTGCCGGGGGCCGAGGAGGGCACGGGCTTGGGCTCCGCCATCTCAGGGCTCTCCTCCCCGACGCACTTACAAGCAGCATCTTGAGAGGTAGACAGTTTTCCGTCTTCGCTGCAGGAGAGAGGACAGAGTGTCAGAAGTGTGGGTGCACTGCTGGGATGGGCCCAGGCACATGCAAGATGGCATGGAGTCATGGCTGCCATGGGGTTGGAGCCCTGGGGTGGAGCATGCTCAGGGAACAGGCACAGGGACATGGACCAGTGACCACAGAGGAGGGAACCACAGGGAGCGGACCACAGGGGCAGTGTGATGCGGTGGGTGTCGGGGGGTGGGGGAGCCCAGGCACCGCACATACCGGTAGGACTTCAACACTCTGAAGCCAAGTGTGCAAAACAGAAAGAGAAATGTACAAGAGTTTCAGAACACTCCTATAAATGAGGGATCGGGGACACTAAGTCCACCACCGCCCATTAGCAAAGCTGCAGGCTCGGAAGGTGTCAAACGAACCTGTTTGAAGGAATGAGTGTTTAGTTGAAACAGCTGGCCAGACCCCACCATTTGCTTGGTGGCTGGCAGCCACCACCAGGTACAAGGGGTGCCCAGCTATCTGAAGCAGGACCTCGTGCCTTCTCAACAGGCTCTCAGATAACATAAGGAGCACAAAGACGGCAAAGGCAAGCACCAAGAACAGCCTCCAGACGGACAGATCCGACTGCAGGTCAGCCATAAAGGCCCCCCGCTGCCGTGGAGACGGTTCTCCGTGTGGCTGGAAACACAGACGTGGCCTTGCCTGTCTGGGGCTGTCACTTTATACAGCCAGAGTGGCATCAACTGGGAAACTCGGTTCTGCCCTGGATCTGCTCATAATAAACCTAGTTTCAGGTTGAGTCTTGGTGGGGCTTTCCGATGGATCCAGGTTAGAAGCAGACAGCGACTTCATGGCAACCTGAATGACTGATGACCTGATTCTCCATTCCCTCCCACCAAGACGAGGACCTGAGGAACGTGACTCACTACTCTGGTTCTCTAGGTTGACGGCGTTCCTGGCTCAGCACCACACAACACCTCACTCCTCCCATCTCGTCTGCATCTCCATTGGACACTCCACTCCACCCATCTCGGGCTCTTGGTCTAGCTGTGGAAGGTGTCACCTTTCCACAAGGAGGTCATCCTCCGCTGCAAATGCAGCGGGGCTCCAAAAGCCCCCAGGCGCCCACCTCTCAGAGGTATCTACCCTCTGCTGTCTAGAGCATCCAGTGCCAAGTTGTGACCATTACTTACATTGTAGCACGTGAATGAGGTTTCAGTATCTCTTCACGAGCTTTCTGCTGGGTGTCTCTGGGCTGTAAATGGCTTGCTGCTATCTTTAGCCTGTTGGGGGCTTTAATCTTTCTATCTTTTTCTTATTGGTTTCCAGCACACCCTTGAACAGGAAGTATCCATCAATCGCTTACTGATTAAGACACTAAAACCGTTTTCTGTTTCTTAGTCTGCCTCTTCGTTTTGTATCTAGGGCTTCATCAAATCAGAACGTCTAAGAGGGCGCAGTCAAATTCAATTCTCTGCAGTACCGCCCGTGCCTTTGCAAGCTATTTTCAGGAGCAGCTCTGCTCTGGCCGACGTTTACTTCTACTTCTCACACCACGTCCCAGAGCTCAGTCATTTCCTCACGGAGAGCAGAAGTCAATAGTGTGCTGAACGTGCTAGGAGGAGGGGGAGAAGGAGGAGGCCCTCACTGACACTGCACCCACAAGGTTCTAATGCTGGGACTCTACAGAAGTGGGAACGTCTGGCAGGCACCTTTCTTTCTGGTTTACTAAGTGCTTGGGGAACCTGTATTTTCCCCGGAACATTAGAGTACATTTTATGGCGCCAATGGAAGTTTTCACAGAAACTGCATCAATGATTCTGTTTGGTGTATCTGTGCTCAGACACCCTGGGAGCAGCCCCGACGGTGCCCGTGTGAGAAGGGGCGCACACTGAGCACAGGGAAGCAGCTGACTTTCTCAGTTTCATGTTGTGAGCTTTCATTATGACCTACTTCTGACCCGAGTTAAGTGGTGAGGGTACTTCTTTCTCACTATTAGGCCCTTTGCTTCCTGAGAGCTGTCATTTTGCTGGTGTGTTCAAGGCCAGTGCTCAGCCCCTTTCTCCGGGACTGAAGACTTCTCAGACTCAGAAGCCCATCCAGCCTCCCCACCAGGTCTTCTGAATCCAGCAGACGTTTCCACGCTCTGTTGAGGAGGCTTTATAGAAAGTTCGCGAGAAAAGGGAATTCAAAGATGATGGGAGTTTTCCCACAAACTTTTTGAAACCTTGTTTAATTCTAGTCTTCTGAACACAAAAAGAGGGAAAGAAGACACAGCGAGAGCAAGAGAGACAAACTCCAGGCTCCCCAACTCTTCATGTCTTCATCAAGAGTCATCGTTGAAAAGCTGACCGCAGACCTCTACTGTGTGGGCTCACCCCCAGCCTCCCCACCAGCTGAAGCGGTGGGCCTGGCCCCCGGTTACCTTTTGAAGACGGCAGTTTCGGTCTTGGCATCTACAGTGAGGCTGAGGGTTTCCTTCATGCCGCCATTCATCACTGTCTCAGTTACCTTGTCTGGACTCTCGGGGTCCTCCTCCCCATCAGAGCTGGCATCCATGGCCACACTGCCCGGCGCTGGAAAGCACACACAGCCGAGGGTCACACCCATGGCTAGTGGAGGAAGGAAACCGGCCAGCACCTGGGTGCGCACGTCCACAAGAGAAGCCCGGTGCCGGGTTTCCTCCAGCAGAGTTTGACTAGCTTGTCTTAGTCTTTCTAGCCCAGTGGACCCACACCTGATGTCCCCTGCACACAACCCTGACCTGACGAGCAGCTGTAACAGGTACCCACGGTACCACTCCAGTATGTTCTTTCCCTTTCATGCTCCACATCTGGCCTGGTCTCTACGTCTCTTTCTCGGGGCTTTCTGTGGACTGTTTCTTGGTAGAGTCACAGGGGACACTGATTGGGAACGTATGCTCTGAAGCTACTCCCTGGACTGAAATGTCAGTTTTGCCACTTCCTCAAAAGCTGCACACACCTCTGCCAAAGAGCCTAATCTATAACTCAGTTTTTCATTCACAAAACGGGGAAAATGGAATCTATCTTTCAGAAGTGTTCAGGGATGACTAAGAAGGTCAGCTGAGTCCTAGTGACTGTCTTGATTCCATCCCTGGTCCCCTCACCGTCATCTACTGCACCAGATAACAGTCCAGGGCCAACACAAGGCGTCTGTGTGAACGCTGAGCAGCAAGACACCTTCAACCATTCATCTGCTTCGAGAGGCAACGTGATCGTGAGCCACTGCACAGCCTGAGCCATGTCCACGCTCAGCACACAGCCAGGCACCAGAGGCTGGGGGCAGCCAGACACAAATGCCAGGGCTGGAGCTGCTCTTATCTGGGAGACACAGGCGTGGGCAGTCCTGCCTTTTGGGCCTCTGTTTCCCTATCTGTACACTAAGAACTAGGATTCCTGTTCCATACAGAATAGCCTGCCTCTTCTCATCAGTGGCCCTGTGGACACCCTGAAACCCTCAATCGTATTTCCCTGACTCCCTTCAGCCCTGAGCCAGGTTCTTGACACATGCCATGCAGACAGGACAACTTTTCAAGAGGGAGAAAAGGAGCAAAAGTTCAAGCTTGAGAAACACACAGTTCAACAGTCCTGCCTCCCTGACTCGGGGCCTTTGGGCACCCACCTTCTGGCTGTGCTGTGAGGGCAGCCACACTGGGGGTCAGCGGATCCAGGGGCTCGGTGCTGGTCTCCATTTCCACAGGCGAATTACTCCTGAAAGAGTCTTTTGTACTTTGAGGAGAGAGAGAATTCAGAAGTTAGCACTGCAAACTGCCCTTGCTTACCACCATGCACAAAGAGCTGGAAACAAGTAAGGCTCCTGAGGAAAACCCAAGCACCTATCACAAGCAGCTAAGAGGCATATACCTTGGAGCTGACCAATATGGGCTGGGTGAGTGTTCGGCTTAGCAGAAACACAGGGATGGCTGCAGGATGCTTTCCATCACCAAGAACCCCAGGCCTGTGGGCCCTGGACAGCAGACAACTCCCATCCATCACAGGGACTAGGTCATGTAGCCTCTGCCCACGTGAGGCCTCCTTGACTGAGGCCAGCTGTTTTCCATGTGCAAACACGTCACAGAGCAGAGGAGGGGAGGGCCGGTATGTGGGTGTGTAACTCTGTTACCTCTCACATCCCTCTCCCATAACAGAAGGGGTAGAGGGAAGCAACTGGAGCAGACATGTTCTTATGGAACCAGGGCTCTTCCCCTTCAGTTACAAAAAGGCAAAAAAAAGAAGGGGACACTTGATGTTTCTGTATTGGGGTTTCTACAGCCACAAACCCCTGTGCTCAGTACAATGGTTCCTTAGGCTTTCTGAGGCTATAAACCTTTACAGGAGCCTCATCTACCCACAGAGGTGCTAGAGGATTTGAACCAACAATCTACTTAACCCAATGCATGACCAGGGCATGTTGGGGCGGGTGGTGGCGGCGAACACCTGACAAGACATTCTCAGAAGGCTTCCTTTGCCCCGTGAACAACTACTCCATGCTCACTGCTTCATCTGGGGAGGGAGCGGCTATTTGATGAGCGCCGGTCTCCTGTCCCCACTGCTGGTCACTCAGAGGCAGTGCTTCTTGGACAGGGGCAGCACTAAAGTCTTTGAGCAGTGTGGTGGAGGTGGCTTTCTCAGATCCAAAGAAACAAAATGAGACAAAACCCACAGCTAATCCTAGAGTGGCGCTGTAGGATAAGCATGGCCTGCTAACTGACAGATCGGTGGTTCAAATCCACCAGCCACAACTTGGAAACCCTATACAGGGTCGCTATGAATCAAAATCAATTCAAAGGCACTTAACAACAATTCTGAAGTTCTGACAATACCTGTCAGGAAAATCATGAAGGGACTTGGCCACTGACAGCAACACAAACAGCACAACTGGGTTTATGACAGGAAAACGGTAGGAGCAAACCACAGCTGTCATCGTGACGTACCACAGCAATCCCAGAGGTACCTGCCATAAGACCCCTGACTTGTCCCCCCATCTCCATGGTCCCGACCCCACAGTCCCCCATATCTCCACTGTCCCGACCCCACAGACCCCCACATCTCCACGGTCCTGACCCCACAGACTCCGACATCTCCACAGTCCCGACCCCACAGTTCCCCCTATCTCCACGGTCCTGACCCCATAGGCCTCCCCACTCCACAGCATCCCCATCTCCAGTCCTGACCCCACAGCGCCCCCATCTCCACAGTCCTGACCCCACATTGGCCCCATCTCCAGTCCTGACCCCACAGCACCCCCATCTCCACAGTCCTGACCCCCAGCATCCCCATCTCCACAGCCCTGACCCCACAGCAACCCCATCTCCACTTGGCCCCGGGCCCAGCACCCAGTGGAGCTAAAGGAGTCTGCAGGATGGCTACTTGCTCGAGGTCCGACACACTCCCCAGGGCTGTGCTGTTCAGGTGACTCTGTCCGAGTCGCAGTCCCTGTCCAGTTGACCCCACAGCTGGTGACGGGCGTGTAGAAGGCACTGACCGAGCTGAAGGGTGGTGGAGAGGCTCACAGAGAGCCGGCGCCTGTTTCCTCACCTCAGGGAAGATGTGAACTCGGAGAAGGATGCCCAGCCTGTCTCCTTCGTTGGCATCGGCTCTTCCGTGCTCCAGACGTCAGAGCCCACCGAGTCTAAGGGAGCACCGTGGGTCGTCTCCATGGGGACGTCAAAGTTGGCTGACCAGCTGGGAGCTAAAGACGGGAAAGAAATGTCAATGGGAACGTTCTCAGGCATTCCAGGTAATACCAGACATTTATTTACCAACACGGACTATTGTTGTTGTAAAGTGCCGACTCATGGAAACCCTCTATATAGGGTGGGTTTCCGATAAGTGGCTGGTGGGTTTGCTTTCCCTATAGCATCACACCAGGATTCCGACGCAGATGAGCAACGATGACTCAAAGGCCAGGGACCGCCTGTGCTGGTGGGCTGTGGGAGAGGGACTCTCCTGTCTGAGACACAGTCACGTGGAGAACTAGCCTGCTACAAAATCGCAGGCTTCCTTTGATCCAGCAATCCCATTTCTAAGAATTTAAACGATGCAACCCAAACCAAAACCACCGACGCACACTGCCATCGAGTCAGTTCCAATCCACGGTGACGTCGTGGACAAGAGAATGCCCAGTCCTGCGCCATCCTCGCACTCACTGCACCTTGCTGAGGGGCTTCCTCTCTCTCCAACTCTACTTTACTGACCATGATGTCCTGCTCCAGGGAAAGGTGCCTCCTGATAACAGGTCCAAAGTACCGGGACGATGTTTTGCCAACCTCATTTTGCAGGAGCATTAGCATCTGACTGTCCTTTCAAACAGATCCGTTCACTCGTTTAGCAGTCTATAGTATATACCCAATACTCTTTACTAATGTAATTCAAAGACATCGATTTTCTCCGTGCTTCTTTAGTCCCTGTCCAGTTTTCCCATGCATAGTAGGTAATTCAAAAGACCGAAGATTACGTCAGGCACATCTTACTCAATGTGGCCACTTACTTTTTAACACTTTAAAAAGCGTTTGCAGCAGATCTGTCCAATATAATGTATTGTTTGATCTCGTGACTACTGCTTTCAGGGACACGGATTTTGGATCCAATTAAAATAGAATCCTTTACAAATTCAACCTTTTCTCCGTTGATCCTGGTGTTCCTTAATTGGTGCAGCTGTGAGGATTTTGGTATTCTTTACATTTAGATGCAATCCACACTGAAGGTTGTATTCTTTGATCTTCATCAGTATTTTAAGTCCTCACCACTGACAGCAAGCAAGGTTGTGTCCACTGCATATCACAGGTTGTTAATAAGCCTTCCTCCAATCGTGATGACACGTTTTTCTTCTAGTCCAGCTTCTTGGATTATCTGCTCAGCATACAAGTGCATACATACGGTGAAAGGACACAGCCCTGACCCACCCTCCTGCTCGGAAACAGCGCAGCATCCACGGACTGTGTCAGAATTACCGCCTCTGGGTCTAGACTCAGGTTCCTCCTGAGCACAATTAAGTGTTCGGGAGGGGAGGCTCCATTCTTAACAATGCCACCCAAAACTTGTTACAATCCACATAGTCGAATGCCTTTGCTGTCAATACGTCACAGGTAAACATCTTTCTGGTATTCTCTGCTTTCAGCCAAGATCCATCTGATGCAAGCAGTGATCTCCATTGTTCCAAGTCCTCTTCTGAATCCGGCTTGGACTTCGGCCAGTTCAGTGCTGATGTACTGCTGCAATAATTTTTAAATGATCTTTAGCAAAATTTTACGTGCATGTGAGTTAATTATATTGTTACTGCAAAAATTACACCATCTAAGAATTACAAGTTTCACTTCCCCTGCCCCTTCGTTCTTTCGTTCCCACAGCCCCATACTGCAACGAATCCCACTTCTGAACGCCAACTGCAACCCCCACCTTTTACCAGGATCAACATGGGGCTGGGTCCCTGTGAGGTGGCATTCTAGCACTATCAGCCCTGATCTCACCCACGACTCTGTCCCAGGGTCTGCAGTGTGCCTCAGCCTCTCACAGACCCCACAGCTGTCAGGACCCGGCTCACATGGTTGTGGGCGTTGGCATGTCCCAAACCTGCAGTTCAGATGACTGGAACCAGCAGCCTGACCTAATGTGTCAATGCCCCACTGTGTGAGTGAGGAGGATCCTTCAGACATACGTTGGAACTGCAAGGGTGGGCCTTGCCAGCCTCTGTAGCCATGTGAGCCGGTTCCTGGCAGCTGTGAGGTCTTGGGGGGGTGGGGTGGGGGGCTGTACTGCGGAGTGCAGTCGTGGTTGACATCAGGGATGACAGACGGCTAGAGCACTATGGAGAGTCCTGGTGTGGCGCTGCAGGTACCAGACCCCAAGACTGGTTTAAACTGCAAGGTCAGTGGTTCAAACTCACCAGATGGTCCTTGGAAACCCTCTGGGGTTGTTGTGAGTCAGAACGGACTCAACAGCGCTTAACAGCTTACCAACAATAAATATAGCACTACGGGACATCTGGGATGTCTTTAGTCTCCAGCTCCTAAGGACCAGTCTTGTGCAATCCTGCTGAGAACACTGTTGCCGTTACATATACCAAGCCACGCGCACTTGTCCCAACAGTGTGGACTCCTCGCCGCCCCAGGATGACCAGACAGCACACAGGACAGCTACGCCCAGGGGTTTCTGAAGCTGCTCATCTTTCTGGAGGCAGAGGGCCTCACCTTCCCCCTACAGAGTGGCTGGTGAATTCCAAGTGCTGATTGATTGATTGATTGATTAGAAGTCCAATGCCTAACCCAGAGCACCACCAGGGTACACTTCTCCATCACAATTCAAAAGCAGCTCTTTTTTAGCGTTATAGTTTACTTTTATTTATTCAATGTCTTTTGTCCTTATAGTGTTTTCCTGAATTTTTCTCAAGTTTTTTCTTGAAATTTACTCGGTTAAAAAAGTTCTGTAAACGACATTATACATTGTTTTCTCTTTTTACTTTATGTCTTGTTGTTGTAAACTGGTATCTCTGGTCCCAGAATTCAGTCTTGTAGGTTTGTTTACTTTCAATACTTCTAGAGCTGGGTTTGAGTTCTAGGTGATATTGTCATGTATGTTAGTGTCAGGTTGCTGTCTACTGTTGTTGGTTCTCTGTCCAAAGAACTCCCTTCAGTATTTTTTGTTAAGGTCGATCTGGTTTTTGCAAATTCTTTTAATTTGCACTTATTTGGAAATGTTCTAATTTCCCCGTCACATCTGATGGGAGAACCGTACCCTGCTTGCCACCAAACTCCAGCCTTGTCTTGTGTCTGAAGGCCACTGTTATCAACAGCTGCTTGCAAAAGCTCAGGATGGCCAGGCGGTGCCATGCCATGCCAGCCCACAGTCTTCCCATTTTTCTTCTCTCTTACTGCTCCTGGTCAGCTTCCTCTTCCAGCCAATACTCAGTACACCTCTCCTTGCCGTTCTCTGAAGCTCAGGGTTCCAAGGTCACCATCTGTATGTTTCACTTGGTCTCCTGTGTCTGCTGCAGAAAGTCTGCTCAGTGCACCTGTCTACTCCACCATCTTACCCATAAGTCCAAGAGTTCTTTGTTCTGACTGGGGGAAGTTGGGTGAGGGATGCACAGGAATTCTGTTCTAGCCTGGCAATTTTTCTGTGAATCTAAAATGACTGTAAAACAGAAAGTATATTGGAACTGAATGGTAGTAAAAGGGATAAACTGGAAACCCTCAGGTGATGGCCACGGCTCCCTGACGCACCACCACCAACAGGAGACTTCCTGGTCCTGCAACCACAGCCAGGCTCTGTGGCTGTGTGGTGGCCCACCTGCAGCATCCTCACACACTGCTTGTCACCAGGTTTGGACTGACCCAGCAGGTCCTGGGGAAGTGTCCCTTCACATCTCTGAATCAGGACTCATCTTCTCTCCACAGGCCTTCTAGACTCCACGTACAGCTGGTCTCTGCTACCACAGACATTTGCCACAGCAGCAGAAACCTCAAGGTCTCGAGGACAGAAAGCTAGGGAACCTGCTCGACCTGGGGGTTTATACCAGGAACTTAGGACTGAGAAATGTTCCACTGTAAAGGCAGAACTTCCTGGGATTTTGAGCAAATTATTTCATCTCCCCAAGTGACAGAACTGTTTGTTTCATGAGGACAAACACCCATCCTTAGCGAGCCATTGCACATAGTGGATACACAGTCAGGGTTGTCTTCATGGCCCGCAAACCGTGTGCGCACGCTGTGTGTGACGCTCTGAGGTGTGTGCCTTTAGAGCCACACAGCCACTTGGCACCATGTGGGGGACCACTGTTCTCACTCAGGGAGCTCCTCTCCGCCCCCCACAATCCCTGCAGCAAAGAGCCCACAGAACATCCGAGAGCAGCCACCACCAAGTCCAGTCCTCAAAGCCAGAGGTGGGGGCAGACCTCCAGCACATTCCTGTACCTCTTGGCCATATGAGCACAGGGGGATATGACCCAGAGACGAAGCTTTTCCAAGGAGCAGAGACTTAGATGGGTGGGGACCTGTCACCCTGAACCAACACGCTAGGTTGTAGGTACCAATGGCCAGAGCGTGAAGGAAGTGGCAGCATGCTGACTGTTCCCCCAGCCAGCCCGAAGACCAGACTGTCTGTCCTGTCACCACTGCCTTGTCCCGCCCCTTCATATCTTCGGGTTTTCTTGTTTCCCAAGCTTTCTTATCCGGCTCTCACGCTGCCACAAAGGAAACATTTTTGCTTTTCCCCAGTAAGACCCTTGTGTTGTTGTGAAGTGCCATTAAGCTGGTTCGGACCCACAGCGACCCTGTATAGGGTTTCCAAAGAGTGGCTGGTGAGCTAGCCAACTTTGCGGTTCAAACCACCTTTGCAGTTCGGCGCATTAACCCGCAGCACCACACCAGGCCCAACAAGCAGTTCCCGGTCTGATCCAAAGCCTGCAGGTCCAACAACTCATCTTTCTGGAGCAGGACTAACCAGCTGGGGTGGGGGGTGTCTCTGCTGATTCCTGGTCTAAGAGGGATCCCCTCGGCATGTGTCCGAGTCTCCTGGAGGCAGCAGCAGGGAATTGTGGGAGAATGGGAGACTTGCACTAAGATGAAGCCCCTTCCTCTGCAGCCTTCCTGAAGAGGACAGGCTGTGTGAACATGCGGGGGCAGTTTACTATGAGGGACTGAGATGGCAAGTTCAGCCCCCAATAGGCTCCCTCCTCACAGCAACTCCAAGGACAACAGAATGAAGCTGGTGCTGTACCACCCTCATAACTCTGGTCACATCTGAAGCTGTTGCTACCATCACTACTGTGTGCCAACCCAACTTCCTCCTATTCACTGGCCCTCCACTTTACCAAGCATGAGATCTCCTCCAGGGACTGGTTCCTCCTGACAACATGCCCAAAGTACGCCATCCTGCTTCTAAGGAGCATTCTGGCTGCACTCCCACAAACAGACTTGCTTGTTCTGGCATCCGCGGTACTTGCACTATTCTCTGCCAGCACTCCAATTTGAACACGTCCATTCTTCCTCAGCCTTCTGCTCGCATGGTCCAGTTTTCGCCGGCCTGGAGAACCATGCCTCTGCCTTGAGAGCTTGGTCACAGCTGAGCCTATTTTTCAACACGCCCCCCCCCCCCCACCCACCCACCCAAGCACACAGACGGCAGAGAGGGCACTTACGTTCATTCAAGTCGACCTCCATTCTGTCCTCCGAGTTGGCACTGCTGGGTTCAAACAAGTCTTGCTTTGCTCCGTCTTCCTCTTCTGAGTCTGTACTCTCCTCACTGTCTGTGCTCCCTGAACTGAAAAAAAGAAAAAGGCGCGAATTGTGGAATGCTGTCTACCAGGCGACAGCTAACATGAGGAGAGGTCAGAGCGAGACGCCAGCACAGCCTGCTGCCTCTGTACCGTTTCATGGGCACACTTCACTCGGGCTGCGCGATGGCGCCTACATGCAGGCTTCTAGACAGACTCTCTGTCCTGCCCCGTTCACCTACAGCGCCTCCCCATGCTGTCTTCCCGACAGACTCTCTGTCCTGCCCTGTTCACCTACAGTGCCTCCCCACGCTGTCTTCCCGACAGACTCTCTGTCCTGCCCCGTTCACCTACAGCGCCTCCCCACGCTGTCTTCCTGACAGACTCTCTGTCCTGCCCTGTTCACCTACAGCGCCTCCCCACGCTGTCTTCC